TACCGGGGCACCATTGAAAGCAACCTCACCAGCTGCATCACAGTGTGGTACGGATGCAGCACTGCATCCTGTCGAAAGACAGTGAATGCAGCCAGCAAGATCATCGGTGTCTCTCTGCCCTCCCTTATGGACATCTTCCACACCCGCCTCACTAGCAGAGCCATCAGCATCACTGCTGATAGCTCACACCCGTTAAGCCTCCACTTCAGCCTTCTGCCTTCAGGGAGAAGGCATCGGAGCCTCCAGGCTCGCTCCACAAGGCTTTCAATCAGCTTCGTTCATCAGGCTGTCAGGAAGCTGAACTCTGTCCATTACCTCCCCCCCTCTTCCACCCACTCCTGAACTTCAAAAATCTACAGTTCACGCCACATTTCTTTCATTGCACACAGGACACTTTATACTCTCTGCACTTACAGACTTTACAGTATTTTTGTGCTAACTAATGCCATACTGCTGCTATCTGTCTTGTAGCTTACAAATGCCTTTATACTCAGAACTTCAAAATGTTTACATATTTTGGATGTATATTTGCACTTTACAAATTGTTTACATATATTTGGACGTATATTTATACATTAACAAAGTTCATGCCGGGTTTGGGTCCATCTTTCAAATAATTGACGGTCCGCGTCGGTTCCGGATAGTACATTTTTTACATTTCTCGGTTCTGCACGGGCCCGGGTCCAACTTTCAAAATAATAGACGGGTCCAGGTCGGTTCAGTGTAGCACATTTACGGGTCTCTTCGGGTTCGGGTACGAATTTTTGGACCCGTATAGATCTCTACCCCAAAGTCACAACTAAAACCCAGATGCAGAAGAGGCCTCTAGTTACCATGGCAACAAACCGTGCTTTACCCACCGTGCAAAACGTGTGACAGTTAGCAGACCCCCAATGTATACACATGTTGGTCTACAGGTCTTGACTGACTGTCAGCACCTCTTTGTCTTCAAGAATGCCAAATGGCCCTTTTGTTACTGAAGATACAGAAAAGGACAGGAAAGCAGAAGTCTTTGATCATTTTCAACCTTACAAAATGATCCTCACATTGTGCGCTTGTTACATTAATCAGAGAATAAAGGGACACAAAACTGCTGGCCCATTCTGATAATTCTGATCAAATAAAAGTTAGAGAGAAGTGGAGACAGCCCATGTTGTAAACTTTCCTCTCAGTAGAGAGGACTGTCACTACAACTCACTGAAGTTCGTCATTCTTCACTCAACCCAGAAGAACCTGATCACAACTTCACCACCACTGAACTATCAAAACCATCAAGAATTTATCAGAGAATGCATCCAGACACTGGTTCAACAGCTAATGCTTATGCAAAATGTATTGTACATTTACCTAAACTAAACAGAGGTTTAGTATAAGCTGTTTCAAGTATATAGTATAAGACCTTGTTACAAATGTGCTGATGGTTGTGTTCAGGTGGTTAACTGACTCAATTTCCATAGATTCATTCCCATGGTTTCTGTTTTGCTTATTCACGTTCCTGTGTATTTATGCGTGGTTGTGTGTATATGTTCATTTAGAATAGTTAATGTGTATTTGTGTTTTATTAAAAAAAAAACTTTCTGCACATTCACAAGAGTATTGATTCTGTGATCACCACTTGCAAGCAGAGTCCCTTTAACGAGCAATTTTGCTAAATGAGCTAATGCTAGCTAAAGAACTACTGAATGATCTTTTCATGAAGGAATGAACTACAGTGCCATAAAGCATACAATTCAAAACAACAAATCTACTACTTTATTTCTATAATTATAATCAACAAATTTAATGTAGTTACGTAGTTGGTCACATATATGTAGCTCTTTGCACTACTCCCTAGTGGCATGCCCTGGATTTTACCGGGCATATATACACAGGATTTTTGTTGTAAACACAGCCCTCCATAGTCAGAGGGGTGCGCGTGACATGCTGAGGAACTGGGCAGAGAACAAGTGAAGTCAAGTCACCTTTACGTATGTAGCGCTTTATACAATACAAATTGTGTCAAAGCAGATCTAAGAAGGAAAGAAAAAAGGAAAGGATGTGACATGTGGCCAAGTATGGTGACCCATACTTGGAATATGTGCTCTGCATTTAATCCATCCAAGTGCACACACACACGACAGTGAGTAGTGAACAAACACACACCGTGAACACACACCCAGCGTGAAAAGCAACGGTCCTAGTACTGAACTTTGTGGTACTCCATGCTGCGCTTGTGATCGATATAATACCTCATCATTTACTGTAACTAATTGATAACCGTCAGACAAGTTTGATTTGAACTATGACAATGCAATTCCACTAATGCCAACTGTTAGGATTGAGTTGTGTTGGTTTGGGTGTTTTGGTTTCTTTTCTCTGTTGCAGGTTTTGTGATTGGGGCATGACTTGAGTGCACCTGTTGGTCGTCAGAGGCTCTTATTTAAATGTGGTGCGAGAGTTCGTCGGCACCGCTGCTCAGCTGTTGTTTGGGCAGTTTACCTGAACCGCACTCTAATTTTGTGACATTTGTGTTTGGTTTCATATACACTCACTAGTACTGACAGCTCTTCATTTTGTGCATCCATTCACTTGCCCTTCATACTGACTGACACTACTGGCACTGACATTTTGATTGTTATTTTGGTTAATTTTGCTGTATTAAATATTATGTTTGAATTTATTCCACCGTGTCGTTTCCTTTAATGTTATATCTCTGATGTTAGAATGTCTATAAATGCTGATCCCAATGCATCTTTTTCATTATCTACATGGATATTAAAATCGCCAGCAACTAAGACGTTATCTGCAGCAAGCACTAACAGACATAAAATCAGCAAATTCTTTGATAAAGTCTGAATGGTGCCCTGGTGGCCTTTATACAGTAGCCAGTACGAACGTCACGGGATTTATCATTAACACATATTACACTAGATAATGTTACATAAAGCACTATTACTTCAAACAAATTATACTTGAAATCAGACCTCTGAGAAATACTGAAAATATTCCTATAAATTGTAGCAACACCTCCCCCTTTACCTTTTGGACGCCACGCATGTTTATAACAATAATCTTGGTCGGTAGTGTCATTTAAAATAATGTAATAATCTGGTTTTAGCCAGGTTTCTGTGAAACAGAGCACATCTAGGGTTTGATCTGTGATCATCATTTACAAAAATTGCTTTCGTAGAAAGGGATCTAATATTCAGTAAGCCAAGCTTTACCCTGTGTTTATCTGTATTATATCTGTTTTTTTATTTGTTTAACATCAATTAAATTTTTACCCTTGAGTTGGTTTGGACTTTTTTACATTTGTTAGTTCGGGGAACTGACACAGTCTCTGTAGTATAATATCTAGGTGTAGTAGTATCTATGTGCTGAGTATTAACTGACTTCTGAGACGTGAGGCGGCTACCAGACTGTCGGTTTAGCCAGTTTGTCAGCTTCCTGACCTGGGCCCCAGTTATTTGTGTTCAAACTCTAAGACTATGTGCCATATTTCTAAAAATAAGAGCAGCATCACCCCTGGAGGGATGAAGACCGTCTCTTTTCAACAGGTCAGGTCTGCCCCCAAAACTTGTCCAATTGTCTATAAAAGTTATGTTATTCTGCGGGTACCACTCAGCTATGTATCTCGTAAGTATTGAACTGGTGTCCCTATGTTGGGTTTCTGGTTCCTGTCTGCCGTGTTGCTGAGTGGTTTGCAATTGTAGCTCTGTGTAGCACTGAGTAGCTCTGTCTTTCTGTTGGAATCATTATCTTACTATCACTCTCTGTTGTTTAAATTGATAAAATATAACTTGTTCCCTTTCATGGGAACTTCGAACTGCGTCCTCTAGGGGTCACTATGGGGAACGCCTCGTCGTGACCCGTGTCTGAAGCATACATTGAAAAAAAACACCAACTCGTTGGCCGGCGACAGCCATGACGTCACTACCGGTGCGACTATAGTATAAATAGGCGCCGGGAGCACACATCATTCTCTTCTTCGTCTTCATTTACTGTTCTGTTTGAAGCGTGCATTCCAAGGAAAAAGTAAGAGTTATCTCTATTTATTATGGCGAGCACTAGCAGAGCATTTAGAAGGTGTGTGCATCCGTGTCATCGCTATTTGACAACAGATGACACACACGATCTATGTGTTATTTGTTTGGGCGAAGAGCACGCACGCGATGTCCTCGAGGGGGCAATCTGCGTGCATTGTGAGTTTTTTCCAATGAAAAAGCTCCGTTCTCGTTTGTCTCTCTTTTCAAGTAAAGAGGGGCAGCCATGATGTCGCAAGTTTTGAGGGAGCGTGCAATTGGCATGCTGACTGCAGGAATGTCCACCAGAGCTGTTGCCCGTGAATTGAATGTTCATTTCTCTACCATAAGCCGTCTCCAAAGGCGTTTCAGAGAATTTGGCAGTACATCCAACCGGCCTCACAACCGCAGACCATGTGTAACCACACCAGCCCAGGACCTCCACATCCAGCATCTTCACCTCCAAGATCATCTGAGACCAGCCACCCGGACAGCTGCTGCAACAATCGGGTTTGCATAACCAAAGAATTTCTGCACAAACTGTCAGAAACCGTCTCAGGGAAGCTCATCTGCATGCTCGTCGTCCTCATCGGGGTCTCGACCTGACTGCAGTTCGTCGTCGTAACCGACTTGAGTGGGCAAATGCTCACATTCGATGGCGTCTGGCACTTTGGAGAGGTGTTCTCTTCACGGATGAATCCCGGTTTTCACTGTACAGGGCAGATGGCAGACAGCGTGTATGGCGTCGTGTGGGTGAGCGGTTTGCTGATGTCAACGTTGTGGATCGAGTGGCCCATGGTGGTGGTGGGGTTATGGTATGGGCAGGCATATGTTATGGACAACGAACACAGGTGCATTTTATTGATGGAATTTTGAATGCACAGAGATACCGTGACAAGATCCTGAGGCTCATTGTTGTGCCATTCATCCTCGACCATCACCTCATGTTGCAGCATGATAATGCACGGCCCCATGTTGCAAGGATCTGTACACAATTCCTGGAAGCTGAAAACATCCCAGTTCTTGCATGGCCAGCATACTCACCGGACATGTCACCCACTGAGCATGTTTGGGATGCTCTGGATCGGCGAGGTGGGACATGTGTAAATATTGGAGGAGCTTCCAGCGGTGGAGAGAACTCAAGGAGCAGGAAGGCCTAATTGAGTTGCTTTGTTTCTTCTTGATAGGTGAGTTACGTTGATTTAGCTTTTTCACACAACTTTTCTGTGTTGGCTTTTGCTTGAATATGCTGTGGCTGGCAGGCATAGCAGACTCCGCCATTGTCGCTGCCAGGGTTGTGAACGTACATGTGGGGCAGAGTTATCAAAATAGGGGCAAGGTCCTGTTGGGGTTTGGGCATGTTTGTTTTGGTTCTTTCAAATATCAACATCGTTTGGCAAAAATCGCTTAGTGCACCTTTAATCTTGGGCTAAATTAACTCATAATGGCTTGGACTGCTTCATGAAGTGGGTGACAATCATGATTCATAATAGAAACCAGTTTTTCAATCATTCTATCCTGCGCCAGGGCGGAGCAGGACACCAGGGCAGAGCCGGTGGATCAGGGTGCCAGGGCGGAGCAGGTGGAGCCGAAGTCCACCTGAGCGGAGCAGGCAGAGCTGAGGGCCAACAGGGCGGAGCTGAAGACCACCAGGGCAGAGCAGAGGACCACCAAGGTGGAGCAGACGAAGCTGAAGACCACCAGGGTGGTGCAGGTGGAGCTGAAGGCCATCAAGGTGGAGCAGACGAAGCTGAAGACCACCAGGGTGGTGCAGGTGGAGCTGAAGGCCACCACAGCAGAGCAAACGAGGCAGGAGACCACCATGGTGGATCTGGGTGGGACTGAAATAGAAAGCACTGAGAGGTTAACAGCAGCCTCTGAGGCCATAACAGGATGGGCAGACAGTGCACAGACGGTCTCCATGGTTGTGACAGGACAGGCAGGGAGTTCATAAACAGCTTCCTTGGCCATGGCTGGACAGGAAGAGTTCGTAAATTACCTCCTTGGCCATGACCAGACGGTTCATAGATGGTCTCCATGGCCGTGGCTGGACAGTCACAGAGCTCAGTAATGAACTCCTTGGTCGTTACAGAACAAACAGAGTTCAGGACCAGCATTCTTGGCCATGACTGGACAGTCAGAGGATTCAGAAATGGCCCTCACGGCCAAAACAGAGGCATCAGGAAACAGGGTGAGTTTAAAGATAGTGTCCGTGGTGGGAACAGAGGCAACAGGGACAAGACTCTGAAATGGCTGCCATGATGGGACAAGGCTCTGGAACGGCGGCACTGACAGGACGAGACTCTGGAAGGGCGGCCATGACGGGACGAGACTCTGGGCTGGCGGCCATGATGTGATGGGACTCTGGAGTGGTGAACACTGTGGGAGTGCTGCGTTCCTCCTCCACGACTCCCACAGTAAATTGAGAACCACTTAATTGCAAGGCTAGATCAATATAAAATTCCAAAGTCCAATGAGGTTCATGCAATGGCATGATCAAACTAAATGGTTCAGACAGCCCCCTCGAAAAAAGATCATGAGGCATACCTCGTCCATGTTGGTCAAATGAGCCAGCTCAGTAAAGTCCAGTACATAGTCCTCTATACTGCGATCACCTTTTTGGAGGTGCATAAGTCTCACTGCTGGATCCATGATTGGTCTGGTGTTCTGTAACATAGTTCTCTGTTGATGACGTTGATGAAAAAGTTCTCTGTTGATGAAGGAGGTGAAGAGGATCCAAGTGCAGTTCTTTAGGTTTATTCAACACAAACACAAAATACATCCAGGCAAGGGAGCATGGCAAAAGGCAAGGCAAGTCAAGGCAAAACAAAGCAAAAACAAGGCAAGAAACTAGACCAAGGGCACACGAAACAGCCATTCATAACACCAGACAAAGAACAAGGGCAAACACAGGGGTATATAAATGCAAGCTGTGATTGGCAAACAAGATACACCTGGAAACAATCAGGAAATAATCAACAGGAAAGACTACATTACTGTATACTTTATTAAAGAATTTGCTAATTTTCTATCCGAGTTAGTGCTGGCTGCAGATAAAGTTTTAATTGTTGGTGATTTTAATATCCATGTTAATAATGAAAAAGATGCATTGGGATCAGCATTCATAGACATTTTGAACTCTATTGGGGTTAGAAAACACATGTCAGGACCTACTCATTGTCGAAATCATACTCTAGATTTAATACTGTCACATGGAATTGATGTTGATGGTGTTGAAATTATGCAGCCAAGCGATGATATCTCAGATCATTATCTAGTCTTGTGCAGTCTTCATATAGCTAAAACTGTAAATTCTACTCCTTGTTACAAGTATGGTAGAACCATCACTTCTACCACAAAAGACTGCTTTATAAGTAATCTTCCTGATTCATCTCAATTCATCAGCATATCCAATATTTCAGAAAAACTTGATGATGTAACAGAAACTATGGACTCTCTCTTTTCTAGCATTTTAGATACGGTTGCTCCTTTATGCCTAAGGAAGATTAAGGAAAACAGTCTGACACCGTGGTATAATGAGCACACTCGCACCCTAAAGAGAGCAGCTTGGAAAATGGAGCACAGCTGGAGGAAAACAAAACCTAGAGGTATTTCGTAGAAAAACATAGAGGTATTTCGTATTGCTTGGCGGGAAAGTACCCTATCCTACAGAAAAGCATTAATAACTGCTAGATCTGATTACTTTTCGTCTTTTAGAAGAAAACAAACATAACCCCAGGTATTTATTCAATACAGTGGCTAAATTAACGAAAAATAAAGCATCAACAGGTGTTGACATTTCCTAACAGCACAGCAGTAATGACTTTATGAACTACTTCCAAGATCGATACTATTACAAATAAAATTGTAACCATGCAGCCATCATTCTCTACTATAGGAGAGGAAGAATTGTATAAACTTGTTAAATCATCTAAACCATCAACATGTATGTTAGACCCTATTCCATCATTCTTTTGCATAGACTAGAAAACTCTCTAGGATGGAGACTCAGGACGTGCTGCATCTACGTATTGTTGTCTCGCTGGACGAAGACTCTGAAGTCTGAACGTAGAGTATCTCTTTCCTCACAGGCTGGAGGCTCAGAACGTGGTTGTATCTGTTGCTTCCTCAAAAGCTGTAGACTCAGGACTTGGTTTCCGTTATTGCCTTTTCCGTCACGGGCCAGAGGCTCAGAATGTTGGTGAGCTGTTTCTGTCTCTCTCCTTACAGGACCGAGACTCAGAACGAGTGTATCTGCTAGTGTCTCACCCTTGCAGGACTCAGACTCAGGACGGAGGGTGATCTGCAAATTGTCTCACCCTTGTGGGACTCAGAACGAGTGTATCTGTTGCTGCCTTCCCGGTAACAGGCCAGAAACTCAAAACGAGGAGTGTCTTTTGGAAGGGTTCCTTTATCTCTTTCCGATGAGGAGGAGATTGCAATTTGGCGCTTCTCCATTTCCATGCTGTGATTGGCTGTTTCCATCAGAGTGGGGGGACACGGTGTGGCCCACCCTTCTTTCCTCCTGTGGAACTTATTTGCATAGTCCAAACACACATTTAGAAAAGTGTTACTAAATTTCTACCGATGCATTATTCACTTACCAAACCACAACCAGAATATATTTGGCAATGTTACGAACGCATTAAGTCCAAACATGATGGGAAAAGATTGAACTGTCATGCATGCATTTATTTGTCCATTAACAGCTGAGTTTGTGTAAGATGTTGCACTACACATTTCTTATTTCTCTGAATAAGTATAAGATGTGAGTGTTGTAGTTTGCATCAGTTTAAGGTTTGAAAACATAGTTATGAATGGATTTGGATGGATGGGACTGGCTCTATCGTGTACTTCGCCAGTAGGACTGCCATTTCCGCATGCAGGACATAAGCATCCTTGCCCGCCACTGAGGTGAACCGAATGCCATTGAACCTGGGGGGACGCCGGGCGAACTGAATTGCATAGCGGAGTCTGACCAGCCAGCGAGACGGGTTGGAAAGAGCCATCCAGGCTATGAACGACCATGCAAGCGGGACCAATGGAATTATTGATGATTATTGAATATCAAAGTAGACACTTCTTCTTATGCTTCTGACCCTCTCTCCTTCTCCTTGCTCTAACAGGCCTGTTTTGCTGTTTGTTTGATTTCTTTTATTAAGGTAGAATTGTTTTACTCAGAAAGATTGTAAGAGGATTGATTAATTCTGGTTATTAAACACTTTTTTCAGATTCAGTAATGGTAATTTATTATCATTTGTTATTCATTTGATTATTGGAAGAAATTATAAATAAATTTTAATTCATTTGCATCGACTTGTCTGACTGGATCTCCTTTTTTGCATTAAGTACGATGATTGATATTTCGATGATTTAGATGTACATTTCAGACATCTTTGGTTACATTAAATCCTATATGCTAATTGAGTAAAATTATTACATTTGCATTCATAGTGTTGCTATTATGATCTTCAATTAAAATTAAGGGTGTCACAAATATCAGTAATAAGTATAAGTCCAAGACGATTTCAAAGTTCCAATACGAAGGTATTAGTGAGCAAATGAAAACAGAATAATCCAACAAGCATGTCAAGTCAAGTCACCTTTATTTGAGTCTAAGGTCAAGTCATGTCACCTTTATTTGTACAGCGCTTTATACAGTACTGATTTTGTCAAAGCAGCTTTACAGTGTCAAACAGGAAAATAGTTTGTCAATAATGCAAGAAGACAATAACATATCAGTTATCATTTTCTACAAATCAGAGTCATTTTTCCAGCTAAAGTCAGTTCAGCATGTGTACAATACACAAAGACCAACAATGAACTGAAGAAATTAAGGAACTTAAATATACACTGATAACGAACTCAAATACGAACAGCTGTGATGACTAAATGAATATCCTTGGTAACAAACAAATCCTTGGCTGAAAATGTGAACGAAGACAACAGGGATTAATGATAAACAAACAAAGGGCCCTATTTTAACGATCTAAGCACATGGTCTAAAGCACACGGCGCAATTGCGCTTACGGCGGTCCGAATCCACTTTTGCTAGTTTAAGGACAGGAAAAATGGTCGGCGTGTGGTCTAAAAAGGTTGTCCCTATTTTCTTAATGAGTAATGGGTGTGTTTTGGGCGTAACCTGCCATAAACCAACCAGAGTCTTATGGCGTTATTTTACTGACAAATGTCAAGAGCGCATTATTGTAGCGCGAAAGCACATTAACATAATGCGCGAGCGCGAATCTCTCCTCTCAGATACACGCTGCTCTCGCCCGGAGAGAGTGCGCACACTCCAGACGCTTATCCACACGTACGTTATCCAGACGCAAAGTAAAAAAAATCCTTTCCTTGCTACGTCGCCGCCACGCCTCCACACAGTTTGAGCGCAGCTCCGACACGTGACCGTGATTTCTAACGTCTCATATCTTACGTCTGACGCCTGAATACTATGGGATTTTGGCCAGACGGCTGGCGAGCGTATACACGTTAGTTCTCCTCTCAGTTTGCTTAGCAATCAGCAAAAAGTGCACATAGTACACCCCATAGTGTCGAGCCAGACGTCACGCGTGATTCACGTGTAGCAGTGAAGTTTTTAAAAAGAATTTTCGCTAACACGTATCATAACACCATTATATTAATGTGCTTTCGCGCTACAATAATGCGCTCTCGACATTTGTCAGTAAAATAACGCCATAGAGTCTCATCTCCCATTCCCTTTAAAAGCCAGTTTCGCTCGCGCCATGGCGGATTTTGCTATTTACATGGCGGAATTTGCAAGCGGAAAAACTGAACCCTTCTCTAGTGAGGGAACGGATCTGCTCGTGCGCGTAATTCTGAACTGTGCATTGTGCCTCTTGCTATGGAACATGCAGTGATTTTCCCTACTCACATTCCATCAGGTCGTAAATGGCTCTGGTCTTAGCAAAGGTGTCGGGGTTGCCATGGTAACCAGTGGCCTGTGGTCATTC